TGACAGAGATCCTGTGACCTCTTCAAGGGATTCAAGTTAACTCATTCAGAGTTAATCTACAAGATAGATGGTGCGACTGTGGGTTTTTTCAAGCTCTGAAGTATCCATACGCTCATGTCATAGCAGCTTGCTCGCATACCCGTCAAGACTATAACCATTTTGTGGATCACATATACCTTATATCAGAAGTGTTTAAGGTATACGAATTTGAGTTCCCCCATAGGTAATGAGAAAGACCCTAATGAGGTTTAGAATTGGCTTCCGATTGTGCCATATCCATCCTTATTGAGGGAGCTCGACCGTCCAAAATCCACTCAAATTTATTGTGATATGGATATTCGAGAAACGTCAAGAGAAAACAAAAGATGTGGGCATTGTAGAAACCCAGGACACAGTAGGAAAAAATGTTCATATCTTTTGTCATCAAGTAACCGTTGATGTTGTACTTAATGTAGTTGTTGTTTAAAAAAGATAAGTTTATGTAATTTAATTTTCATTTACTTTAAGTTAATGTCATTTGATCATTAACGATACAAGAAAAGTGATTAAAAAACATTAAATAATAAAATCATTCACTTGAATTAAGTAATAAACAAAATTAACAAAATGGATTAAGTATTAAATGGTAAATAACTAAAAAAATTACAATTGTTTGTAAATAAAAAAATTAAATACAAATATAATGAAATGTATGAATCTATCGATGCCTGCGTCTTGAATGTGTTACGCAGAACGGTGGTTGTCTGTCTCGATGAGGATTTCTTCGTATAACTTGTTCTAATTCCTCACTTTCATTATCATCACCATCATAATCATCACCATAATCATCATCGTCGTCGTCGTCAGGAGCTGATACATTTTGTTGATGAGGAACGGATGACGATGTAGCACCTCCATAGAATAAGGATCCTATAGGTGTATGACTGACTATCCCACTACTCATAGAAAACTGGGAAAACTGAGAAAAGTCTGTCATCGATGAGTGAGAAAACTGTACAGAGGTGTCTGTGCGGCGGCAATCGGTGGTGATGTTGAACCCGTTCAATAACCAATATATGAACCCCAAGTTGGATTTGCAAACATATAACCATAATATCCTTAAGGATGGGTCATATAACTCTACGGTAGTGGTGGCAATCTGGTATGGTAACGGCAGTGGGTGCATCTGATATGGCCATGGAACCATATGAAATAGTTGCGGAGTATACATTGATATAGATGGTGGCTGCTGTGAAGGTTCTGGTGCTGTAGCTGAAGACAAACCAGGAACACTTACTCTTCGTTCACGATTCAGGGGACGATGGGGTTATGACGGTGGACGTCTCTGTCGACGTCGATGAATACTCCCGCTTCGTACTTCCTCGGAAAGCAGGAACAATTTCTCGTTCCTATTGAACCACTTATAATAACCATCTGCAACTGTCAAATGGTCCACATAAATGGGTTCTCTACAGGGAATGCTCCCACGTCGATCCTCTCATATCATAACCCACTCATAATGCTTCAGCACCCAGTCCACATCTTTTTTGCCCATTCGATTGGTGTTATGCAACTCGTTGAGATTTTAAGGTGCTTTCGGAATTGATTGTACAAAACCAAATTGTTGGAGCTCGTGATCAGTGGGATGCCACTCGAAATCATTTTTCCTATAGTCAGTAGCTCGACACATTTCCCTATAGAGGATGACAAAACTGTCGAGCCCCAACTCAGTGTGTCAGTCAGATGAAAATCAATGAGATGCCGCAACCACACACAATGAACTTGGTTGCACGATTTGTCCGGCATCAGGAGCCTTCCTATTAGTTGTAGTATGCATGCCCGTGCATATATTTTTACCTGCTCCTCCGAGGCATCGTAACTCAAATGCTTAAAAGTTGCATCCAACCAATTTAACGGAATCCAACCACCGTTAAAATTAGGCAGGACACCTCCAAGATACTCCTGGAACAATGAATTCCAGTCACCGTATGCCACCCCAGAAAGCACATCTCTATCTATCGGAAGCCCCAAGTGCTTTGAAGCATCCTCCAGCATAATCATGCACTCTCCGCACGGAAGATGAAATGTGTGTGTCTCAGATCTCCACTGCTCGACCAATGCAGAAATCATGTTAGATTCTACATTACAATGCCCTTCGTATATAGCTATGTAACCGAATTCAGCCTTGACTAAATACGGCCAGACACGAGTTGGTATCTCTAACTTAATATTTCGAGTAAAAGGATCTAATATACTGTCTCTCTCCTAATTTAATAAATATTATATAAATTAATATATAAACCAATACTAAATAAATATAAAATAAAATATTACCAATAATGAAAATTAAAATAGAATTTAAAAATGTTACCGTATCAGCAAAATGCCTCGATATATGATTTCCATATAAACAAAACAGACCACCTTCCATTTTATAACTGCAAAAAATAATAAATAATATAATATAATTATTATATAATATAATATAATTTATTATATTACATTCTAAATAGAATTTGATTGGGTTTGAGCTTTAAGAGGGTTTGGGCTTTGATATGGTTTGAGAGGATTTGAGAGGATTTGAGAGAATTTGGTGTGATTGAATGAATGAAGGATACTTATAGGGTTATGGATGAGTTTGGGCGGATGGGGTAGTTAATTGGGGGAGTGTGAACGGTTGAGAAATAAATGAAAGACGCAGATGGTGATCCGCTCCTTTCTGGCGCGTGTCATAATTGTAGAAAGACAGATAGCTTTTTTTTTGGTGAGCAAAAGGATAAAATTACAGAGGATTAAGCCCCTGCTGTCAACGTGTAATCTTCAGCTTCTTGTTGGACAAGATCAATCACTTCCAGTGGTGGGTTGGAGAAAAACATATGAACTTCTCCTCTAGTCACGACAATCTTAGCTAGTATATTCTCCACCTTATTTGCATTCTGACTTATGTGCTTTAAAACAACGTTCCAATCTCTGTTAATCAACTCATTCAAACGGTTAAAAAGAGTAAAAATCGAGCCCTCTTATTGTTCACCTTTAACATCCGGACAACCTCCAAACTATCCATTTCCACAGTGATTAGCCGCTCAACTAGATTCCTAGCATGAGAAAGAACTTCATAGATACCCCATAACCCCGTTTCAACTATAAGACATATTCCGATCACTTTTGAGAATCCAAACATCCAACCACTATTTTAAGATCGAAAAATACCTCCACATGACGCAAATCTGCTTCCTATGTTACGGGACCCATCAGTGCTAATCTTACACCAATTGTGAGGAGGCGGTTGCCAAGTATCATGGATAATACATGGATGGTGAGAAAGTTGAATCGTTGATAAAGATGATTCCATTGCACAGTTAGCTTCAAGAGTGAGGCGCCTGCTCTTCTCTAATACGGACTCATGCTTAAAGTAATCCGGATCAAAGATTCTTCCATTCCGATTCTTCCAGATTAACCAAAGGATTGAACCAAACCGTAAGTCCCAATCATTCTCCTCGCGTGCATAAGACCCCGGGGAAGCAATATTGATTTGCATCCAGCTTTTGATATCCCTTGTATAAAAATCCTCTAACTTTTCAGTTTTAACTAATGATGACCAAATAGCCATAGCTATGTGATATTGGCGGAAAAGATGGTCCGATGTTTCACCCGTCTGTCCACAAATTCCACAGTTGCTAGTTGTGGCCATATCTTGTCGTACTCGCTCTGAATTAGTAAGCAGCCGATCATTCGCTAGCAACTATAAGAAAATTTTAATCTGCTGCAGTCCACGATACTTTGATATCATCTCCCACACTTTATGCGTATCGGCATTTAAAATTCCAGACGTTGCAGAATGGTGTTCGATAGTTTATCAATGAATAATTCCCAACGCCATTGACCATTATGATCCACCATAGAAGAAACCGACTGTCGTGGAAGATTATCTCGCTCTACTATATTAACAACAAATCTTGCCAAAGGTCCCACGTCGCTAAGCCAATCCTCCCTCCAAAAATCTACATTACAACCATTACCAATATTCCAAACAAAACTTAGCCGCACCTCATTCCATACTTGAGAAATACCCTTCCAAACATGCGAGCTTCTCGTGCAATTAATGGATTCGGGGATCAATTCCACCCATTTATATTTAGAGCGTAACACTCTAGCCCACAACTGATCGAAATTAACCACCAATTTGTAAGTTAGTTTCATGAGAAAAACTTCATTCTGAACGCTTAATTTCCGTAGACCCAGACCATCGTTAATTGTTGGTTTGCAAATGTTTTCCCAATGAACAAAAAGTACTCTACCTCTATTCTCGGCACTACCCCAAATAAAACCTCGAATTAACCGTTCTATCTCTTCACATATCCCTTTTGGAAGCATCGTTTATTGCATTGAATAAGAAGGAATTGCCGAAAGTACTACTTTTGCCAAAATGATTCTCCCAGCCAAGACAAAGATTTTTCCTTCCACCCTGTGAGCTTGTCACGGACTCTTGAAACAATATAACTATACGAAGATTTCGTAATCCGATAATGTAACAGAGGGACTCCCAAATACTTGCCCAAATTTTGAACTTCTTGAAAGCCAAAAGAAGCACTAATTGAATTCTTCAAATCCAAATTCATATTCTTTGAGTAATAAATAGTAGTTTTCTGGATATTTATTTTTTGACCCGAGAAATTGCAGAATAACTCCAAAATACCTCGTATAACATTACATTGCTCGATAGAAATCTCGGCAAGGAGTACCAAGTAATCTGCGAAGAATAGATGGGAGAGAGCAGGCCCATTATGACGTAAGTGAATAGGTTTCCACCTACCATTGTTTACCGCTCCAACTATTGCATGCCCCAACCTCTGCATGCACATCACAAACAATATCACCTTGACGAAGCCCTCGTGATGGATTAAACTAAATTAGGAACAAGTGATGGATTCATTTATAACTATCAATGGGTGAAGCCCAAATCCATGAACTGTCAACTTTCCTTCATCACTCCTCGTTTTTATCTCTGAACTCCGAAGATCGTTAAAAAGAAACGATCGAAGACTAAGCGTACCGAATTAGTTCATATTATTGGGGTGAAAAATGAATATCAAATTTTGTATCATTTTCTCATTATTTCTTCGCAACGTAATCGCCAGAGGCGGAGATCGCATCAATCCTTTATCTTCAGCTTCGGGTCCTCTTTTCTCACTCTGCTTCAGTTTACAGCTTAACAGTTGTGAATTGCGATTCCTAATTTTCTTTACTGTTTGATATGTTTTGCATATACACGTTAATAAATTTATGTTAATAAAAAAGGAAGTCCAATGATCTTTGAGTTTTTCTTTGGTTTGACCGGGATGTTTTGTTGCAATTCGGTGATTAATTTACAAATGATTGATTTTCGTCTGGCTGTTTCTCTCTCGCTTCTAGATTTAGGGTTTCCAAATCATGGTTATGTCGTTCTTGCAAGGCACTTGTTCGAGGACAACCAAGCTCGCCACCCGAGGTTTTTTTTTCATTTCCTTTTTTTAAAATGAAAGCTGGTTAAATTTTTGGGTTTTGTGAATAATTGGAGGAGTTCTTTAATTACAGAACTGATATTACTCGTGGCTACATGACTAATTCTGAATTAGAGAAGGCGGTGAAGGAATTTGGGCGAAGATGTAGTCACATTTCTAGAGTATACAGGTGGTTATTTTTATTTTTTCTCCTTTTTCTCGCTTATGATTTTTCCCAATTTTTATGATGAAATCAAGTAGGAACGAATGAAGTGGTTTAATGTTCAAGTAGGAATTTTTATGATCTTTCCATGGAGGTTATATACTCATTGGTAATTTATTACTCTCTTTGAGGGCATTTTCAATATCGGCATCAGTATTGGAAAGAGCGTGCAAGGTTTCCCCCTGGTAATAGTTTTGTTTCAACTTGCTTCCTTTTCTGTATATACATGTCCTAATGATTTTTGTTATACTGTTTTGAACCATTTGTGATTGTGTGGATTATTCTCAATTTCATCCTAGTGTTTTATGATTCTCTTTGTTTAGTTGGTGATAGAGATCTCTGACAAACCAGGCAAGGAAGAGCCTGAACCTGCGTTCAAGGTAAATGATTTAATGCTTTATTACCTATAAAGGTACATGGCTAAGAACTTATGTGAAATCATGATTGTTTTACAAATGATTCCCTTAACACATGGTTAAAAATTTAGAAATTGAATGGAAAAAACTAATAAAATAAAAATGGAGAAGGAAAAGGAAATTTGAAATGTTGAAACATTAAAAGCTTTTATTGGGGGAATCATATATGTAGCAACCTGGTGTTAGAAAGGAATCAATGTAGTAGCATCAATAGAGAATTACTCAATTACAGTAAATCTTCTCGTGGACTGTGCTGTCTTATGTGCTTTCAGGAGGAAAAGTATTGGATGTAGCAATCTGGAACCTAATTTGAAGTTGAATAATGGTTGAAGAAAGTTTCAACAGTAAAGGTTTTAAAAAATGAGCACCACAAGTGTAGACCTCTGTTTCCAGATTTCACATTCTCTGATAAACACCTTTTTTTCTCCCCTTCAACAACTTTTTCTTGTTCATTTTTATTAAAACGTAACCTGTCCTTTATCAAATATTTCACCTATTTTTATGACAATGACTGAGAAGGTGAATTTCCATGACAATTCCTTTCCCATCTTGTCATCATGATGAATGTTCTTTGTATTTTCTGTCAACAGTGATTGGAGACTTAGAGTTGTTTTCCTTTCTTTTGCATCATAAAGGCTCAGTTTTTGTTCAAAATGTAGTTAATTAACTTCTATTTAAGGAACTGTTATTCTATGGGTAAAAATCAAATCCTGATTTGCTTGAAATTGCAGTTTGTTGGTAATGTTCATGGTGATGAACCTGTTGGTCGTGAACTTCTTATACTTCTTGCGAATTGGATATGTGACAACTATATGAGAGATCCATTGGTATTTTTCTATTCCTTTTACTTCATGTGAGTGTATTTCTTCTTTTTTCTTGTATGATGTTGTGAATAGTATTATGTGCATTTTTCAGTTTTTTTCCTTAATATTTCCTGGGTTGCACTGTGGTTTTCTCACCTATAATCATGCCTTGCTCGTGGGTGATTTGTTAAAGCATAATATTATTTGAATATACTTTTATATTTTCAAGTCGTTTCTGAGACATTTTAGAGACATTCCCCTCATTCCATGGTCATTGGAACAAGTGGTTGGCTTGAGAACTGAATTGTACGTCTGAACAGCTATAAAATGTTTTGTATCTGCATTCGGTAATTTATTCTGATGCATTTGACACAGTTAATCTTTAAAAAAGGTTGCTGTTATATCCATACTCACCTTATCCATAAAAGGATGCATATGCAATCATGTGAGTGATTGGTAGGGCCCAGCCTACTATTCATATGATCGCATTTTCTCAGTTAAAAATCCAGTTGATTTTTCATTCATTCTTCAGTAAAAAGGTTGATCTTCCTCAATTTACAAGTATTACTTTGATGAAATTATTAGATGACTCACGTCGATTAGGTAAGCTGTCTGTTTACTTTTGTCTGGTTATGCATGCATGTCACATTCATCTTTCAGAATTGTGGAACACGTGTTGCTGTATTTTTTACCCTCATCATATTCTGTATTTTAAAAAATTTCTAACCTGTAGTATTTTTTGTTAGTACAGGTTAACTTGATCGTTGACAAGGTTCACCTTCACATACTTCCATCAATGAATCCTGACGGATTTTCTCTTAAGAGACGTGGTAATGCAAATGATATTGATCTAAATCGAGATTTTCCTGATCAGGTAACTCTTGCAATGTTGCTTTTAGTTTGAGACATTTGATTTCAAGTTGAACCTTACAAATCAGAAGCAAATGGATATTTTGAGACTGTATGTATCTAATGTTGAAGAGTGTATTTTGGTTTTCCGTAACTTAACGAACAAGTTCAACTTAAAAAAATCCTAATTGAATCATTGGTGTTAAGGATTATGCTCTTCCCAAATCTGGATTGATATTCTAATTTGTAGGATTTATTATAGTTTCGTAACATCTTGTAGGAAGGTGGGATGCAGACTAAATTAGGAACGCTACACAATGGTGAATGAGATGATTGAAAGTCCATTCACTACCTAACATTTTCTAGTCAACTTGACATAATAATAAATGACATGTAAAAACTCCTTTTAACAATACAACACAAAATTTCCATTTGCTCCTTATGACCTTTATACACAATATAAGTTATATGTCTGTTTTGTTTAATCATGGAAAACCTTTGTGCTTTAATATTTATTGATGTTCCGACTTGTAGACTTTAATAAAAATTTCAGATTAAGTTTTATTATTAAAGGTTGGGACCAGTGTTCACATTTCTATGATTATTTATTGTTATAGAAGAATCTAAAAAGTGAAAGCACTTCTTGATATAGTGGACTGATTGGCAGAGTTGAAAGCACTTCTTGATAAAGTGGACTGATTGGCAGAGTTAAAAACTTGCAATTATAGGTTGATTTGAGATCATAATTCTTAGGGTCGGTTTTAATTTATTTTTCATGGTAATAAAAGTTGTGAATGGCGTATTATAGCTATCATATATTTAGTTTGGCTAATAATATCAGAAAGGGATATGTTTTCTACTTGTATTTTTCATCCAAATTGTTGAAAATGATCCCAAATAAGGATTCATTTTTAAGCTTTAGAATTCTATTGGATCCTGTCATTATGTGTGCACTCTTATTTTAGTTTCATAATCATTGTGTGTTGCTTTTAGTTTCTTTTTAGTCCTAGATTTTAGTGGATTTACTCCTTTTCGCCATATTAAATGACCACTGTTAATAAAATCTGCCAGTTTTTCCCCTGGAACAATGATGAGGATGCACGACAACCTGAAACAAAAGCAATTATGAGTTGGTTGAGAGAGATACATTTTACAGCATCTGCAAGTTTGCATGGGGTAATATTTTGTTCTTGCTTCTCTTGTTTTGTATTTAGTAATCTGAGTTCTTTTGTTATTGGATTTTGACAGTAGCTGTTACTTCTTCTTTGTCAAAACTTTTAGATTGCTTTAAGTTCTTGACAAAAGGTGGTAAAACACTGTATTTGAAGATAAACATGATAGGCATAGAAGAGCTAAATAAAAAATGATACGGAAAAGGTGCTTCCTTTCACCATTAATTTTTCCTGGCATCATTTCTATTTTCCTTTATTTTGAGTATGCAAAGATGCTTTTGTCACCTGACTCTATCTTTTAATTCTAGTGAAGTTATATGTATCTACATGTTTTTGTATATGTATGAGTTGCTTTGAAGATAAATTAAGTGCTAGTTGGAAGTGAATGCATTAAAATTTAGGATTTCGTTTTGCAGGTCAAGATAATGTTGTATGTAATGTACCTCGATATTGATCAAACTCTTCATTTTTCTTACGTACCGTTGTCTGACATACTGTTAAGTTATACATGGCTCTCAATATGTATGTATGAATTGCTTTGTGAGATAAATAAGTGCTAGTTAGTTGGCAGTGAATGCGTAAAGAGTAAAGCCTCTGTTCTGCAGTTCATGATAACGTTGCATGCAACGTACTTCTATACTGATCTGACTCTTTTTTTTTCTTCTTGAAGTACCCTTACCCAATATCGTCATCTTTCAGACATAAGTGCAGGGATATTACCTCCAAAGACATGGAAAAACTTAAAAAGGAAATTGAACATACCTGTGTTGGATATTACCTCCAAACACATGGAAAAACTTGAAAAAGAAATTGAACATACCTGTGTTGGATATAACCCATGTCTGAGTCTGACACTTAACCCGTGTTCAAGTAAGACAAATGTACGGGTATATATTCAACTGTAGAATCCTGTGTTAGGTGGCCAAAGTAAGGGCAATAAGAAAATTTTAACTATATACTCCGGCAAACCAAAGATATGGAAAACTAAAGCCTGCTATCCCTTCATGTACATACAATGGACCATGAATGTTTTATTGTTTGGTACACATATGCCTGTTCTCATCCTTTAATCTTTGATTTAAGCTCTGATTTACTGATGCTTTTTTTTTTTTATAGAAATAGGGTAGGCCTCATTAAAAACCCCCTTCTTAACCTCCATGTTACAACAATAACATGAAGGGCATTGGAAGGAGGAAAAGAGTGCCTAGTAATTTATTAATATCAGAATAAAATAAAGCCATATCCTAATAAGCTTCTGTTACAACATAAGACTTAAAAACCCCACAAAGAACATAAATAACCAACTCAATAGTAGAACCACCTAACCCATACCCTCATAATCAACCTATACCTTCTTTAGCTAATATATCCGCTTCACAATTAGCAGCTCTTAAAATATGCCTAACAATAACATATCTACTCTCCACTAAGGCAGCAACATCTTTCACCAAAGAGTGGAACATAGGAGTACATAAAGCCGGATTTTTAATCCATTTCAGAGCAGTTAGTGAATCCGATTCGATGATGACCCTTGGAAATGAAGCCAAAGCTATCTCCTCCATAAACAATAGCCCTCTTTTGATAGCCAACAATTCTGCAAGAATAAAAGGACCCCCACCAATCCTCTCAAAAAACAAACCATGCTGTAGCCCTTTAGAATCCCTTATCAAGTCACCTATGCCTCCTTTATCCCACTCCTTAGACATCGCACCATCAACATTTAGCTTAACAAAACCCGAGGGTGGAGGAACCCAGTAGGAGGAAGAAATACTACCCTTCTTCCTTCTTACCTCCAAATCAGCTAGTCTCACATCACCCACAAGAGAACTGAAGTGAATCTGAACATCTCTAAATCTCGAAACAAACCATGATGCAATTCTAAAACGAACAAGGAAGAACAATAGCGGACCATCTATCTTTCCTTTTTGCACTTCCAAATCGACCACAACACCGCCCTAGGGATGAATTTCCAAATTTTGGAGTTCGGTACTAAATCATCCCAAACAATTATGAAATATAGCAGTGTCCGAGGAGCAAAAAAAGATCCCAAACAATTATGAAATACAACAGTGTCCGAGGAGCAACAAGAGAAACATTCCAAGATGACAAGAATCTACTCCACAAATCCTTACAACCTCGCAATGTACAAATAGGTGAGAAACCGACACCACACACTTACTACACAACGGACAAGAAGAGTCTTCAATCCCTGTTACTCCTCGCTTTATCAATTCCTCTCTAACTGCCACTCTCTGGTGAGCAGCCTGCCAGACAAAAGTTTCCACCCTTGGAGGAGCAACCCCTGCCCATATAATGATGTCCCAAATGCCTTCATCTTCCTCATTGCCAACCCAATCAAAATAGCACTTGACACAAGATTTAGCTAAAAAACAGCCCTCCCCATTTCTTGTCCAAACCCATCAGTCTTCTTGCAAGGATGATAGAGATGTAGTATTCAACAAGGACATAAGCTGCAACCACTGTTCCACCTCCCAGTCCACCAAATTCCTTCTCAATCTTATATCCCAGCAGCACCCTGAAGGAGAATTTTCTCTAAACTCTGCAACTTTACCCTCTTTATTTGTTGATAGAGCAAATATTCTAGGGAACCTATCTTTTAAAGGAATCAAACCCAACCATGAATCCTTCCAAAATTGCACTGATTTTCCGTTCCCCATCTTCAAACACAAATTCTTCCTCAGAGGCTCAGATAGTCCCCGAAATCATCAGAATAAAAGAAATTGTTTAAAATTCCCTTCCAAATCCAAGATGCCAGAGAAGACAATGAGTTCACAATCAAACACGAATTACACGCAACATACCACCTTTTCCACCATAATTCCTTCTCCGTAACAAATTTCCATACCCATTTACCCAAAAGAGCTCTATTTAGGAGAACCAAATTCGGAATTCCCAATCCACCCAATGAATATTCCTCTTCTCAGACGAACCCCCCAAAGGAAGACAACCATAATGGAATTCAATTTCTTAACCACACCCACTGGAATTCTAAAAAGAGAGGAAATATGGGGGAAGAGAACACAAGACTGACTTCACCAAAACTGCCCTTCCAGCTAGAGATAGGGAATTAACCTTCCAACCAGCCAATTTTGAGTGAAATCTTTGAACAATTGGCTCCTATAAGGCTGCAGAATTCCTCTTGAACCCCAACGGTAAACCTAAGTATTCTGTTGGAAAAACACCCACTGAACAACCGATTTCCGTAGCCCAGCCTACTAACACGTCCGGTTCCACATTAATACCATAGATTTTACTCTTAGATAAATTCAATTGCAAACCCGTAAACAATTCAAAGATTAGCAACACCCTTCTAACATTCTTCAAGTCTTAGACAAAAGCCTTGCTAAAGATAATGAGGTCATCCGCAAATTGCAAATGTGACAGCATAAATAACCTCTCCTGATTTCCTAACTCGAAGCGCGAAAAGTCCTTTTTCCACTGCTTTAGCCAGCATCAAATGTAGCAACTCTCCAACCAAATTAAACAGCATTGGAGATAACGAGCAGCCCTGTCGAAGTCCTCTTAACGTTTGAAATTTTTCAGTAGGTGTCCCATTAACTAAAACTGAAATTGTTGCTGTTGACACACATTGGTTAATCCAATAAGACCACTTAACCCCAAACCCCATTTTACACATTATTTTCATCAAAATAGACCAATCTACCGAGTCATATGCTCTTTTAAAATCTACTTTAAACACAACCCCCTTCAAACCCTTTTTCCTCCAATAATCAATACCCTCACTTGCAATAAACGAACAATCCATAATTTGTCTCCCCGGAATAAACGCAATTTGTGAGGGACTTATTATTTCATTAATGCAAAGACTCAATCTCCTAGCTAGTACCTTAGATAGGATTTTATATAACCCTCCAAGGCTAATTGGCCTAAAATCTTGTAGCCCCTCCGGATTCACCCTCTTAGGAATAAGAGAAATAAAAGAATGATTCACCTCCGAGTCTCATTTCGTCCCTTGGTGAAACTCCCTAAAAAACACCACCAAGTCATCTTTCAGATTACCCCAAAATTTCTTTAAAAACCCCAAATTCAAACCATCAGGGCCAGGTGCTTTGTTGCTATCCGAATTGGCAATTGCATCCCATATTTCATCTTTAGAAAATGTATTTTCAAGAGCCCTGTTTTGATCTATTGAGAGTTTTAAAAACTCCAAATCCAAATCTTCTACAACCAAGGTATCCTTTTCGTTAAACACCCCTTTGAAGAAATCCTCCATTGAGTTCTTGATTAAAATAGGATCTGAAATAACATCACTGTTCACTTTTAGGTTCTTAATCCTGTTCATCCTTCCTCTAGCTCCTGCACTTTGGTGGAAAATTCTTGTATTCTTATCTCCTTCCAAGCTCCAATTCATTCTTGATTTCTGGAGCCAAATTGATTCTTCTTTCTTGTATAAATCCCATAATTCTTTCTTCGCTTCCACTAAGAGCTTCATAGATACCAATGAACTACCTTGATGCAAATCTAATTCTATCACCTGAATATCATTCTCAAGTCTGTTAATTTTTGCAGGAATGTCAAGATAACTTTTTCTAGACCATCTTTTGACCGCCCCCTTAACACCCTTCAACAGATTAGAAATTAGAAATAGTATTGTTCTTTCCATGTTTTCGAAGATTCTTCAATTCCTCCTCCATCATCTCACTAAAACCAGTCTCCTCCAATACATAATTGAACAACCTGAATGGATTAGGTCCCCAGTTAATTTCATAGTTTTCCAGCAGAATCATGTTATGGTCCGAAACAGACCTAGACTGCAAGATTTGAGTAATCTTGGGAAACAATGATAGGAACCTCTGATCAACCAGAAAACGATCCAATCTGACATACGTAGGGTCTTCCTTGTTACTGCACCAAGTAAAACGACCTCTAGACAACGGTAAATCTACCAATTTTGCTTTATACACAAACTCACTGAAATACCCAATGAAATTGAATTTACAGCACCACCTAATTTCTCCTCCT